AACAGTATTATAAGCTAACCGTTGTGAATCGGGCTAAAGTAAGGCGATAGTTTTGAACATTGGTTGGTTATGTACTTGCTCAAATATTGATTTCAGATCATTTTTAACCAAAAAAAGTTATGGACTGCAGCTTTAACATTAATGTGTATTTACACAAGTTATGTGTGGAACCGTTTCAAATGACAGATTGATATTATTAGTGGTGCACGAATGCAATTGGCACTATTACTTTAGCTAATACTAAAGGTGAATGATTTGAACAAACCCCTAAACCTAAACTATATCATATACACTACAGTTAAAAAATTTGGGTTGGAATATTTTTTAATGTTTTTTTATAGTCTCTTTTGCTCACTAGTGCTGCATTTATTTGCTCAAGAATACAAACATTGTAACATTGTGAAATATTATTAGAATTTAAAATAGCTGTTTTCTATTGTAATATACTCAATTGAAAACTCAATTTCTCCAGTTTTAGAAATCAATTTGCTGCTAAAGAAAGCAGCAAATATTTGGTTATTATCAATATCAAAAACAGTTGTGCTGCTTAATATTTTTGTGGAAACTGATTTTTTTTTCAGAACTCTGATGAAATCAGAACAGTTTAAAAGAACAGCATTTATATGAAATAGAAATCTGTAACACTGTAAAAGTCTTTAGTGTCACTTTTAATGCATCCTTGCTAATTCTAATCATTCTGTTCTGTCAAAAAATGCCCTAAAACCTTTGAATTGTAGTGTAACTTGTTTCACAACGTTTGTGCTACAGACATGAATGATGCATAAAACCCTGCAGCATTTTGAAGGAATGACAAAAAAAAAGTGATCAGTTGTTGCCAGCTGGATCAAAAAATAAAAAACAAAATCCCATATGAGTGACTCAAACCATACTGTATCCAGGGACAACAAGCAACAAACTTAGCAAACAGCCAAAACACGCTGACAACCACATAGTAACGTGTTAAAAACAAACACCAAAAAAAAGCTTACTTTAATATAATGTTAATATTTATAAAATAAAAACCAAAAGCTTTTCATACAGGCAAGCACCACTTGCATTTTCCTCACAAAACATAAGTATCTAATAATAATACTTGTATTCAGTGTATATAAGAGAGAAGTAGACTCCAAAATGAAATTTTAAAAACATAGAGACCCTCAGGTCCTGTCAGTGTACAGTAAATTATGCAGAGTTAAATCAAATGAAAATTCTTACTAAATCCACAAAGGCTAGTAGAGAATGAAGGAGCACCTTTGCTCTCATAAGAACACTCATCTCTTTTTGAAATATACTTTCAGACTGTGCTTTACAGCAACCGAGCCGATTTATCCCACTATAAAGTTGATTTGGTGGAAAAGTTTGGCCTCGCTGTTATGAGTGACAGCAGAGAGAAGAAGGGGGAAAAAACTGTAAAATCTGTATCTGGCTGAAATATAGATATGAGGAGAACAGACCGTGAAGAATGGCTTTTGGTCCTCTAAAAAGTTTGCATATTCACCCTAAATGTGTATGAGAACAAATGATTGCATAATTAGTTCAAATCCACTGTAGCCTATGTTGAAACCAGAATACTAAAGGTGTAAATGCTTGATTGGCTAATACTGCCCGCAACATCCTTATTATCCTAACTATTTCTTTCTACTTTTCAGTTGTACAAATGTGTCAAAGATTGCACTTACAGCTGTTGAATTGGTTTTTCAATGCAAACTATCCTAATTTAAAGGCAATGTGATATTTGTACACGTCAGTAAGCCTACACGTAAAATGGTTTGTATGATATTATGCTCCAATCCTCTAACTCAGTGGTTCCCAACCCTGGTCCTGGAGGCACCCCAACACTGCACGTTTTGTCAAACACACCTGATCAAACACACCTGATTCAGGTCATCAGCTCATTAGTAGAGACTCCAAGACCTGAAACTGGCGTGTCAGAGAAAGGAGACATGCAAAATGTGCAGTGTTGGGGTGCCTCCAGGACCAGGGTTGGGAACCACTGCTCTAACTTGTTACTTTAGTGTTGAGGATTATCACTAGAAAGTACACACCTTGTAGTGCATCGTGTACGTATGGCAGCTGGGATTCAGCTCTGGTGAAGGAGCTGGCTGTTTATTTTTGATTGGATTGTGCCCTCTTGTGCTCAAACATGGCATGACCAGCATAGACCGCCATAGAGACAAATACTTTTCTGTGGCTGTTACCACATTTACTGTTTGTTTCAGTTCATTGTCCGTTTAATGTGCGCTTAAGATGATTAGATTCAGAAAATATCTTATTTACACAGTTTACAAGCAGAAAATCACAAGTCACAGCACAGTCACAGTACAACAAGGATTTCATAATATGAGGTGGTTGACTATTGACTAGACAAATACTATGCTGAAAAGTTTGGGGTCGGTAAGATTTTTATTTATTTATTTATTTTTGAGAGAGAGAGAGAGAAATGTATGCTTTTATTCAGCACATATGCGTTAAATTGATCAAAAGTGACAGTAAGGGCATGTATAATTATAAAGATTTTGTTTAAACAGAAAATAAATGCTGTTCTTTTGAAGTTGTCTTTTTTATTTATTTATTTTATTATTATTATTATTTTTGATGATGATGATGATGATAAGATAAGATAAGATAATGTTTGTTGAACACAAAATCAGCAGGTTAGAATGTTTTCTGAAGGATCATGAGACACTGAAGACTGGAGTAATGATGCTGGAAATTCAGCTTTGCCATCAAAGGGATAAAAATAAAATAATTTTTTTTAAATATAAAAATAAGTTTTTACAGTATTTTCAAATAAATCTTCCGACATCAAACTTTTCTATTATTCTATTATATATTACTAATATTAATGTTAATACAAACCATCAATACTATATTTAATGTAATATATTATTATTACAATTATTCTTTTATTAATTATACATGAGATCTTATTTACACATTTCACATGTAGAAAATCACAAGTCACAGTATAGACACTATATAGCGATTCCAATTTTTTGATTTTGATTTTTTATCATAATATTCATTAAAACTGTGAATAAAGTGCATAAACTGGCATTACACCTGAACAACAGGCTTTCACATAAAATACTAGGCATAAAATAATGTCCTGTAAAAACATCCAACTTTTGTCAAAACTACGGCGATGACTTCCTCCTCCTCACCCCACAGAGCATATGGAAGGGGGACATTCTGGAGTGGGTCTTCTGTGAGGCTCCTGGGGACTCCGGGTCACTTTCTGGGTCAGAATGTAATTGCGCTGCTTCCGGAGCAGCAGCGTACACAGGGACAGCGGGAAGAGACAGTCGTGACTGATTCACAGATAATTTAGTCTTTTCCTCCTCATAAGCCTTCAGGCCTCTCAAGTGGATCACAAAATTTGACGTCTGCTGTTCCAAAGACATGAAATCCTCATGGATCTCCGAAAACTGTCACCGGAAAGAAAGGAAATGATTTACTGAACAAATCAAAGCAAGAATATGCTCTATTTTTGTCTGCGTTATAGTATTTATTCAGTCATTTTTTTTCTAAACTGTCAGAATATACCCTGAAAAGTGCCCTGGGTGAACATCTCAGTTTGATTAAATTGTGTTATATAATATATATATATATATAAGTGCTGTCAAACGATTAATCGTGATTAATCGCATCCAAAATAAAAGTTTTTGTTTACATAATATATGTGTGTGTACTGTGTATATTTATTATGTATATATAAATACGCACACATGCATGTATATATTTCAGAAAAATATGTTATGTTTGTATATTAACTATATTTATATATAATATAAATTATATGAATATAAATATAATAGTGCTGTCAAACGATTAATCGCATCCAAAATAAAAGTTTTTGTTTGCATAATATATGTGTGTGTTCTGTGTATATTTATTATGTATATACAGTATAAATACACACACATACAGTATATTTTTTGAAAATATTTACATGTATTTACATGTCTGTATTTATATTCATATAATTTATATTATAAATAAATATATTTAATATATAAAAATAACATATT